AAAATAAGAAAAATAAGGAGTGGAAAGGTACGACCAGAGCATGCGAACGGTTATGACAGTAACTGCAACATCAGGTAAATTATACGGTGGAGTAGCATTAAAAGGTACACGCACATTATCTCAACATTTGTCTAATTATACGCTCGTTGGCGCCAGGAAGGTTTAGCTGGTAAAAAAAAAAAAAAAAATGCAACTACACTGTCTTTCAGACTTTGTAATTCGTACGTTCGTTGCGAAAAAATTGTCGACATCATGGTTACATTATTGTCGTACTGTGAAGAAATATAAAATACGAATGTTTCTTCAACGAAATATACATCTTTCGAATAGGAAAAAAAAAAAAATATATATGAAAATTTGTATTTTTAATTCATCGATGCAATTATGTGCTCAGATTATCCTGAATGTATTGAAACCGAACAGCGATCCACCGTGTTTTAATTCGCGCGGTTGGTATAGAAATTCTGGATAGTGCTAAAACAGGTTTCTCGTAAACATCTTACTCTCGACGATTTGGTATTCGACAGTCGCTCTGCTGGCTCGTATTCGTCGAGGTTTATTGCCTCGAGCAGCGTAGAAAGTATAACGCAAACCCCCCTGATAAACCGTAAACGGTCGTGGGATATAAAAGTAAGCAAATAAGATCGAGCGACTCGTCCTCGAAACACGTTCATCTAGATATGTATTTGATTATTCCACGTAACAGGAATGAATGAAAAATACGTGTGGCACGATGTATAAATTTCACATGAAAATCTAAACGTGGAAATCCAGGGAACAGCGCGCGAAAACACCTGACTAAATGACATTCCAGCACGACGATTCAACATGCTATTCGACTACACGACCGACCAAACCGAACGATCCCCTCCTCGAAACGATCAGTTTTAAGAACGCGCATCCAGTCGTGCAATAACGACGTAACTGAAAACAGTTTCTGTTGGATCTTCCAGAACAATCGTTCCTCCACGATCGACCGATCGACCACCGTTAAATTCCGATCGAAGATCGTAGTGAAAATGGAAGATTGAACGAAGCTAATTGCAAATGATAAAGCATGCGATGGAAGACTATTGGTTGAACGTTACCCTTGCTCCTCTTCAGCAGTCGGCGGTCCCTGTTGCGCGATGCGAAACACGTCCGTCGTCGACATGGTGCTCCGTTGGCCAGCAGCACACCGTTGACACACGATCACGGGTCACATATCGACGCCACTTTCCTCCGATCATCCAACGTATCGAGGATACTTCCCTCGATTCGAATCCACGGTAACGATGCCGCGCACTCGCTGCGATCCACGTGTAAACGCGCGCTAGTCGTGCAAGTTAAGTACGTGTCCAGGTTGGCTGGCGCCCGTCAAGGCTAATACTGGTGCCGTGGTGTGCCGCGAGAATGGTGCGTGTTGACGCCAATGTATGCAAGATCGGTAGCCGGTAGCGCAACAGGTTGCGAATCCACATAGATTTTCCACATTCCACGGTCGGGCCAGATCCGCCGTGGCTGTCGATCGTTCGTATCGATCGAAAAGCAGTGAAGAGCGACGCACGACAGCGACCAACTCACTGCAGTCTCGTGTAGTGTCGCGGCGAAGCGGTCACGCCGCACCTCTGCCTCTGTTGCCGCTCTGTTCTCTTCCTTCTACCTGTGCACGGCCACGCACACTAGCATTTTTCTTTTATCTGTGTGTGTGTACCGGTCGTCGTTGTTCGTACAGGCGGTCGTTTGTCCGCGGACGAAACGCGTTCCTTCTACCTGCGCGCACGCACACGCAGCTCTACCATCGTCCATGCTCATGCACAGACGCTATTAACCACTATACATCGCTATCTTTCGGCTGCTCATATACTTTCATATACATACACACGGGTTTCCCCTCAGTCGCTGCGCCCCGATCGTCTACTTACGTATACGGATATTTATCTCTCGTTACGTTTCTCTGTGTGAACAGGTTCCTCGCGATTCTACACGTACGAATATGCCGCGTTCACGCGAGTTGTGCCTGTGCTGCGCGATCAACACACGTGCCTCTCGTGTACGCACGCGCTTAGGTAGATGGTATTCCTTTCATTTACATACTGTCCTAAGCGTGTACGTTTCAACCGTACCGTACGCTTACGTATTTGTATCTGTCTGTTTTCTTTCGCTTAGAAAATTATTTCTTCTTTTTTTGTCACGTTACTCGCCCAAGTTAGTATGCTTCTTTCAAACAATCTATGCAATCTACGCTTGGTTATAGTTTTTTCGTGATCGCGTACTCCAAACGCATTGCTGTCGCTGAAGACACACACCAACATCTGATCTTCGTCTGTGTAACGGTTTACAAGTATCGACGTTTATGTTTCATTCGTGAAGCGGTCGTACAAACACGTCTTTCTACTTGGCTATATGCGCAGAAATAACATTTCTTTGGATTGTGTGCGACAACGGCGTTTCAAAGAAGAACGGTTTCCTTTCGTTCGTGTATATCGATCCTTATACATCGATATTTATCCTGGCTGGTTCGTGTAAATGTATGCGACACGCTCCCATCACCTGTGCACACATGCAACGGTACAAACTTGCTTATTACGTATGTATATATGTATGTGTACGCAGATCAGCTACACGAATACGGTGCTCTCTTGGAGCAATCACATTTTCACCATGCGAATTTGACAAATCTTGCGTTCTTTCATGTAAACGTTAATAAAGTATATATTTTCACACAGTTTGCGTGTTTTCATGGAGACAAATAAAATAAAGTGTTATGCGATGGAAGTATTGTTTGCGTAATTTCCCTCAGTGTAATTTCCTTTATGACGATTATATTTCACTTTCACCTTCCCAGAATATTCCTCCGCACTGTTTATTGCCAGTATTCTAAACTTTTCTATTCCAGGATATTGAAAAGTTTAACATAAGGCACAGACACAGAAATATATCATTGTTAACAAGTAATGCAAATAATTATAAATAAATCCATGATTAATTAAAAATTTAATTTCAAATGAAGTTATATTAAAATTGGTACGAAAAAATTTTCGTAATTACATGATAACTGAAGATGTTCGATTCGTGTTGTTCCATTTTTCTACGGCTTTGATTTCATTCTCTAGATCATCAATCGCAAGTCGATCGATTGCGTTGATTGGCGTAGAGAGAAAATTTCTTAGCTATCGAACTGAAAATTTGAAAGAACAAGAATGCACTGTTACCTGTTGCGCATGGTGCGTGATTCGCATATACGTGTATAACTTTCGCACATGCGCAAATACAAAGTCGAATATTCATATTCCTCTGCAAATGTTAAACAAATCAATAATCAATTTATTCACACTAGACGTTACAAAAATATTCTATTTTTTTTACTGTTATTTTTCTGAAAGCATACAGAATCCGAACGACTATAGCAAACACTTGAATTGAAAACGCAAACGTTCAAAGAAAGTACAGAGCGTGTCTCTGATTCAAGAGTTTCTTGTTCAGTTCAGTTAAACTGTTTGGAATAATCAAATTAATGAATCTACTTTACACTTTTCAGTTATTCGATAATAGCTTCAAAGATACGTGTTTTTTTCAAAGTGAAAATTTCCAGATTTTCTCTTCACCGAAGTGTTAATGAAAGTAATGAAGTAATGTACGTAAAATGAAGTTTTAAATAAATAAGATACGTTTCTATATGCATATAGTTTTAGTGAATATGACTATTCTATATGTGAGTCACGTAGACATTCCGGATGGAAGCGTACGGTCACGTAAAACGCATTTGATCGTAAGTCATTGCTAGCGCAGCAGCTTCGAAAGACATTGCGGCGGCAAAGTGTTTAGCAAAATAAAAATAAACATTGAAATTGTGCACATGAAAATTGTAATGTTGCATGATATTGCTGACATTTATTCAAAAAATGCCAATTTTATTCAACGTACGCATGCAAAGAGTAAAATGTACAAGATAGTACATAGATAATCATTAGCATATTTAATACTATTAACAAAATTTTAATGAAATTAAACGATATTGTTAAGATTACTTACAATAAACATAGTGGTGTTCTGTATTTCGTTCCTGCAGTTTCTTGTTCTCGGAAATCTCTAATATACTAGTAGCTATTTATAAATATGAATAATTTGCCCTACGTAACTATGATGCAAAAATTGTAACTTAAAGAAAGATTCGCGTATATATGTACTATAGTCTAATGGAAAAGTTAGTGTCAAATATAAAACATGATTATGTATAAAAATTGTAGAGTCTTCGTTCTTCTATTTTTCTTTAGTAATTACGAATTGTAGAGTGCATAAAAAATTAGTACATTTACGTAAGCAAGTGAATCGAACACGAGTCGTTCGATTTTCGTACAATGTGTTATCGTTTGCTCACTTTTAATTTCCTACTCGCATATCACATTATTCAGAATATATTTGTCTAAATTTATTTATTTCAGCAGAAGATTTTCGAATTAATTTCAGTCACATAAATGTTAGCATGTTTTTTCATACACCCTGAGTGGAGTTATTAAATTACGAATACTCGATATGTATCATATTTACATTTTATATCCCATGGACGTCATAATATACAAGACGAATACATTAATAACAGATGCTCGAACTAAATAAAGAACAATACAAATCATCGTCGACGACTTATACTTTACCACTTGTGTACAAAAATGAATTTTTTTATTGTGTTAAATAATACTATGATGTATATCCGTTGCATTTAGAGAAAGTTAATTTTTCAAACGGTCCCGCCTAATACAGAATGTGTATAATATCATTTGTTGTGGTACAATAAAATTCCTGTACATATAAATGAAATTCATGAATGGATATTTCTTTCTATCACTATTGTACACACATTATAAATGAATGAAGCAACTTTCAAATGTGTATTTTTTAATTGCTTGGCAATTACGATGTATATAAATCGAAATTAATGAAGGTTATGGCAT